CCTTGTAATAAGTCATTCTGTTTCATTCAAAATATTCTCATTGTAATCAGCCTTTGTTTAATTAATAAAAAGAGAGGAAAGCTAACGAAAATGATATACCCTTGCAGTTAAAACCGGTTATATGGCAGCTATACTCCCCTAAATGGCCCACAGTGATGGCTATATCTTCCCCAATTCTCATCCGATTCTCAAGCGGAGTACCTTAAACGATTTCTGGATCGATTTGCCACCATTCTGCATCAAAATCCTGAGACAAAATATTTTTTAGATTTTTTGTCCATTTTTCGTGGTGGTCCCCTTGGAAATGGTGTTTTCCGTATAAGGTCCACAGTGATGGCTATATCTTCCCCAATTCTCATCCGATTCTCAAGCGGAGTACCTTAAACGATTTCTGGATCGATTTGCCACCATTCTGCATCAAAATCCTGAGACAAAATATTTTTTAGATTTTTTGTCCATTTTTCGTGGTGGTCCCCTTGGAAATGGGGTTTTCTGTACATGGGCCACAGTGATGGCTATATCTTCCCCAATTCTCATCCGATTCTCAAGCGGAGTACCTTAAACGATTTCTGGATCGATTTGCCACCATTCTGCATCAAAATCCTGAGACAAAATATTTTTTAGATTTTTTGTCCATTTTTCGTGGTGGTCCCCTTGGAAATGGGGTTTTCTGTACATGGGCCACAGTGATGGCTATATCTTCCCCAATTCTCATCCGATTCTCAAGCGGAGTACCTTAAACGATTTCTGGATCGATTTGCCACCATTCTGCATCAAAACCCTGAGACAAAATATTTTTAGATTTTTTCTCCATTTTTCATGATGGGGTCCCTTGAAAATGGGGTTTTCTGTATAAGGTCCACAGTGATGGCTATATCTTCCCCAATTCTCATCCGATTCTCAAGCGGAGTACCTTAAACGATTTCTGGATCGATTTGCCACCATTCTGCATCAAAATCCTGAGACAAAATATTTTTTAGATTTTTTGTCCATTTTTCGTGGTGGTCCCCTTGGAAATGGGGTTTTCTGTACATGGGCCACAGTGATGGCTATATCTTCCCCAATTCTCATCCGATTCTCAAGCGGAGTACCTTAAACGATTTCTGGATCGATTTGCCACCATTCTGCATCAAAACCCTGAGACAAAATATTTTTTAGATTTTTTCTCCATTTTTCATGATGGGGTCCCTTGAAAATGGGGTTTTCTGTATAAGGTCCACAGTGATGGCTATATCTTCCCCAATTCTCATCCGATTCTCAAGCGGAGTACCTTAAACGATTTCTGGATCGATTTGCCACCATTCTGCATCAAAATCCTGAGACAAAATATTTTTTAGATTTTTGTCCATTTTTCGTGGTGGTCCCCTTGGAAATGGGGTTTTCTGTACATGGGCCACAGTGATGGCTATATCTTCCCCAATTCTCATCCGATTCTCAAGCGGAGTACCTTAAACGATTTCTGGATCGATTTGCCACCATTCTGCATCAAAACCCTGAGACAAAATATTTTTTAGATTTTTCTCCATTTTTCATGATGGGGTCCCTTGAAAATGGGGTTTTCTGTATAAGGTCCACAGTGATGGCTATATCTTCCCCAATTCTCATCCGATTCTCAAGCGGAGTACCTTAAACGATTTCTGGATCGATTTGCCACCATTCTGCATCAAAATCCTGAGACAAAATATTTTTTAGATTTTTTGTCCATTTTTCGTGGTGGTCCCCTTGGAAATGGGGTTTTCTGTACATGGGCCACAGTGATGGCTATATCTTCCCCAATTCTCATCCGATTCTCAAGCGGAGTACCTTAAACGATTTCTGGATCGATTTGCCACCATTCTGCATCAAAACCCTGAGACAAAATATTTTTTAGATTTTTTCTCCATTTTTCATGATGGGGTCCCTTGAAAATGGGGTTTTCTGTATAAGGTCCACAGTGATGGCTATATCTTCCCCAATTCTCATCCGATTCTCAAGCGGAGTACCTTAAACGATTTCTGGATCGATTTGCCACCATTCTGCATCAAAACCCTGAGAAAAATATTTTTTAGATTTTTTCTCCATTTTTCATGATGGGGTCCCTTGAAAATGGGGTTTTCTGTATAAGGTCCACAGTGATGGCTATATCTTCCCCAATTCTCATCCGATTCTCAAGCGGAGTACCTTAAACGATTTCTGGATCGATTTGCCACCATTCTGCATCAAAACCCTGAGACAAAATATTTTTAGATTTTTTCTCCATTTTTCATGATGGGGTCCCTTGAAAATGGGGTTTTCTGTATAAGGTCCACAGTGATGGCTATATCTTCCCCAATTCTCATCCGATTCTCAAGCGGAGTACCTTAAACGATTTCTGGATCGATTTGCCACCATTCTGCATCAAAACCCTGAGACAAAATATTTTTTAGATTTTTTCTCCATTTTTCATGATGGGGTCCCTTGAAAATGGGGTTTTCTGTATAAGGTCCACAGTGATGGCTATATCTTCCCCAATTCTCATCCGATTCTCAAGCGGAGTACCTTAAACGATTTCTGGATCGATTTGCCACCATTCTGCATCAAAACCCTGAGACAAAATATTTTTTAGATTTTTTCTCCATTTTTCATGATGGGGTCCCTTGAAAATGGGGTTTTCTGTATAAGGTCCACAGTGATGGCTATATCTTCCCCAATTCTCATCCGATTCTCAAGCGGAGTACCTTAAACGATTTCTGGATCGATTTGCCACCATTCTGCATCAAAACCCTGAGACAAAATATTTTTTAGATTTTTTCTCCATTTTTCATGATGGGGTCCCTTGGAAATGGGGTTTTCTGTATAGGGCCCAAAGTGATGGCTATATCTTCCCCAATTCTCATCCGATTCTCAAGCGGAGTACCTTAAACGATTTCTGGATCGATTTGCCACCATTCTGCATCAAAACCCTGAGACAAAATATTTTTTAGATTTTTTCTCCATTTTTCATGATGGGGTCCCTTGGAAATGGGGTTTTCTGTATAGGGCCCAAAGTGATGGCTATATCTTCCCCAATTCTCATCCGATTCTCAAGCGGAGTACCTTAAACGATTTCTGGATCGATTTGCCACCATTCTGCATCAAAACCCTGAGACAAAATATTTTTTAGATTTTTTCTCCATTTTTCATGATGGGGTCCCTTGGAAATGGGGTTTTCTGTATAGGGCCCAAAGTGATGGCTATATCTTCCCCAATTCTCATCCGATTCTCAAGCGGAGTACCTTAAACGATTTCTGGATCGATTTGCCACCATTCTGCTTTAAAACTTTATAGATATTTACTTTATAGGGCGGGGGATCTTTATCTGCATTGTACTCTTCTGGAAAGTATAATAATGAACAGACGCATTATTTGTATAGTAAACTATCAAAAAATTGTGGTAGAACACACATGATAGATCACTGTTTCTGTAAACACAGCCCTTTTCCATTCCAGAATGTCTGAGAAACGAGTTTCTAAAGGTCTTGTTACAAAAAAAGTTTGAACAGACAGTGCAAACAAACATAAAATACATAAAATTTTGAAAAAAGTTTGTGTGTATTGAGATTCAATAGAATTTATAGACAAGTAGAGAGTGGTCTATATCTTGGATGCTATATAAGGGGGAAGGAGTAAGTTAAGAAAACACAGTTTCCGAATCATCCGATCTGAAAACCTTCAAGATGAACTTTCTCTACCTAGCGATTCTGGTTTGCCTGGTGGCTTTGGCTTTCTCGGCCAAAATTTCTTCGGCGAGTCGTTTTCACCAAAAGGTTATACCTCGGAAGGTTATCCCTGCCAAAGGAGATCATTTTGCCGGTTCATATAGTCTCTCTAGCCCCACTAGCCCTACATAGTTCGATGAAACAAAATAATATCCAATTTGGATTAAAAAAAACGATGCGACGCCCAGAAAGAGGAGAAGGGGACCAGAACCCAATTCAACTACTCTACCTGATTCTAAAATAACATAAAAATTATAAAACCTCTTAATAAAAAAAATCTATAAATAATATAAAAAAAATCTTAAATCTTAATCAGTGCCAAATGAAGTATTAAAATTATTATTTTTGTTCTTGGGTTAAGATGGGGTATAAGAGTATATAGAGTTGTTGATTGACTTGTGAGTTTCAAGTATGGAAAATTTTAGAAAAGATTATAAAAAATGTATAATTTGGTTTGTAAATATCGCAAATTTAAATTGTTAGCAAAACAAAAGCAAATAATTCACAATTCTACGCACATTTTGTGCAAATATCTGATCTGAAAGAGGCTGGATAAAAGAACAGGTGGAAAAAAAAGGCTTTTGTTGAGGTTCTATTATAAATATTGTCTTTCTTAAAATATATAGTACCTTTTTTTCAATTAGTAACAAAAATAATATATAAAGTTCGTGACTTTAAAAGGTTATCTATCTATTATTAAGAATTAATTAAGAGAAGGGGTTATTAAAAAGGGGCTTGTCTCATGTCTTAGGCCTGAAGAGACCTAAAATGATATTATATGTATATATGATCTTAAAACTATTTCTAAACCAGATTCTTCATCATTATCACTATCTTTAAAAATAATCTCTTTTAAATTTAACCTCTCATTTATTTTTAAGAACTGATCATATCGCAAGCTGTCTTTAAAATACTTGGATGGAAAATTTTTAAAAAATTCTTTAAACAGCAAATATGATAAACAACAAAAAAAAAACAATATATTATTCACTATTCCCCGTCACTATTATATTTTTTTTTTGCAAATATTGCGAATTCGAATTGTTGAACCAAAATACTGCAAATAATCTGCGATTCTGCGCGTGTTTCGGGCTGGAAACACTTGATTCAAATGAGGCGGGAACAATGACTGGTGGACAATAAAAGTCGTTTGCTCCGATTAAATATAGAGTGTCGAGAGCAGATTGGCTGATCTCCGGTGCCATATATAAAGGGGTAACGGAGTCTGGCAAAGACACAGTTCCCGGACTATCTGATCTGATCTACCTTTCCCCCATCCACAAGATGCGATTCCTTTGCGTAGTTTTCCTTGCCTGCCTGGTGGCTGTGGCTTTGGCGGCCGATGCTTCCTCCTCGGACACCGCTTCCTCGGACAGCTCCTCCTCGGACAGCAGCTCTTCGGACTCCTCTAGCAGTACTCCCTCGGAGAGCAGCTCTTCGGACTCCTCCAGCTCGACTCCCTCGGACAGCTCCTCATCGTCCTCGTCCACTCCTTCCTCCTCATCCACCTCGTCGAACTCCACGTCAGATACTACAACTACCACCACCACCACAACTACCACAACCACTGCTGCCAGCACCAAGAAGCACAAGCACGTCCGTCACTTTACCATCCATCGTCTTCGCAGTGGAGTCACCAGAAGGATCAGGATAAAAAATGGCAGTTCCAAGAGGAGCAAGTCCAGTAGGAGCAGGTCCAACTCGAGCAGGTCCAAGAGGAACAACCGTCGTCTTCGCACCACCCGCCGCGGTTAGAAATTTCCAAAAACCCAAAAATTAAATAAAGAAAACTCGCATTGAATAACGATTTTTGGAGAGTTTCTGAATCAATGGGGCTTGACTGTATTATACCTGGTACTTGGGAAACAAATCCGTATAAGATTATCATCTATGAACTCATATTCATATAATCTTATTAATGGGTTTCAAAGATAAACCTCAATAACCTTATTAAAGAGCTAAACAAAGTTTCCAATGTTTAGACCTTATATTTAAATTCTTCTTTAAGGTTTTCTTGGGGTATTAAGTATAGATCAGTTTTAAAATTAAAGAACCAAAATATTTAAGATCCTAATACGATAATAACTTACGATAAGAACCCACATACTATATGATCTTAGCAATTGGTTTTAAATATTTCTCTAATACCCAATTGAAAATTATATCAAAAGTTTCCCTTTCCACCCTACCTTATAATAGAATCATCAGGGTTTCTCTATCTGTCAAGTTTAGATCCCTATTATTTAATATTTAAGATCCTCAACGAAGATCATATAAGAAGTATGATACTATGATCCCCATATGTATATATGATCTTAGTAGTGGTTTTTAAACATACCTCATAAAAACCCAAGTCAAATAGAAACGAAGCTTACCATATTAAATCCATATAATACCACCCTTCGTTCAGGTATTCTTGATCTTTCAAGTATTCTTTAAGTATGATCCATAGCCCTACATTCTTTATAAATAAAACCAAAAATTTTAGGGATTCTAAACAATTTATTGAACACTTTCTCTTCTCACACGCTCGTTGCTCGGCTTACAAAAGTAGACAAAAAAAATGGACGATAAATATTAGGCGGTATATATGCGGTATATGGGTATTAATATATAAATATATATATATGTATGTATATATATATATATGTATAGATTTATTATGCAAATAAATAAGTGGACTACAAGGCGTACTAACTGTTATAAGTAGGTCCAAAGGTTCGGGGAAGTACCATATTCGGCTTAGTCTACGGCTTAAAGCGCTTATAATATTTAGTGACTAATTAGAGTGTGTTTTGTGTGTGATTGTGATTTTGTTTTTGTTTTTGTTTTTTTCTCAGTGTCTGTGTGTGATCTATAAAGTCTTAAGAGAGAGTCTTAAAAGAAATACTCTAAGTATTGGATTATCGGCTCAAGTACTGAAGAAAGCTCTCTGGTGGAGGACGACAGAGCGTTGTGCTGGGAGGGGAATGGCTTAGCACCGTTTTTCCAGAAATAGATCCTAGTCTTAAGCTTAAGGAGTACAACAAATATAATCGATAATCGACTGCCACCAAGGGAAAATGGGAAAAAAAGGGATTCGAAATGGAAATTTTGGATATTCAGACAAGATGGAGATTTCGGAGAATTGGGGGAAGTGGAGAAATTAAGTGGAGAACCCAGTGAACGGTATAAGTTAATGTTAAATGATTTGTAAATAAAAATTAAACTAATGAAGCGTACGCTACAAAATTAAGAGCCGCAGACGCAGACACAACTGTACCTCGAACGGTTAATGGATGCTGGAGCTTTTCAAAACTGGTAAACAGTGTTGGGTAATGATAAAAAAGTCAAAGTAAACTATAAATTATAAATGATTTTTAAATAATTTAGATCTTATATAATTTTTTTTAGAATGAAAGTCTAAGAAACAAACTTTTCTATTTTTTAAAAAGAACCTCACTTACTAGTAACTGATTACCAGTACTAGGTTTTAGTAACTAGTAATCAATTACTTGTAATCATTTTTCAATAATTACTGCCAACTATTGACCAATTACCAGTAACCAGTGATTGGTAATCAATTACTAGTAATCAGTGACAAGTAATCAGTGACTCACTACCCCAAAGAAGCATCCCCATTCATCCATTCCGCTCTAGATACAATCGCCAGTCGGGTGTCCCGCTCACGAGAGCGCCCGCTTCTTGGAGAGCGTGCCCTGGACATCCGCTGGGGGTGGCGGGGTCAGCTGGATGACGGGCAGCGGGGCCAGCTGGGGATTCGTGAAGGCGACGGCCCGCTCCTTGGCCGAGACGGCGGCGAACGAGGAGAAGGGACGCAGGCGGACGTAGAGCACGGCGGAGGTGAGGCAGGAGGTGACCAGGATGCCCAGGAGCACGATCAGCGTGATGGCGAAGCCGGGCGTGGTCATGCAGATGAGACCCTCCTCGCGCACCGGGAACACCATCGTCTGCGGGCTGCGTTCCACCCCGGATCCGTTCGTGGAGCTGCCGTTGCCCGTCGCCTGCTCGTCAATGGCGAAGGTCAGGTCCCCGGAGGAGACCACCTTGATGATCCGGTTGAGGCCCACCTGGGGCTCGGCCACAGCTCTGGCCCGGCGCTGGACACGGCGCTCGTCACGCCGCTTTCCGATGGCACTGGCCACCTGGTAGGCATCCACGTGGAGCTGGGGCGGCGGTCCGTACTGCGACTCGGGTCCCACCTGGAGGTGGTGCACGTCCTGGAGGTTGGAGTCCGCCGAGCACTGCTCCGGGCAGTGGTAGCGGCAGATCTGGATGGTGCACTGGAAGTGTACCTCCATCGAGTCGGGGAACTTGAAGGCCTGGAAGTGGGCGTACGACAGCACGGAGGCGGAGGCCCCGAAGTTCTTGATCTTGGTGAACCGGGACATGAGCTTCGGCCGGGTGACGCATCCCCGCTGGTCCACCAGCTGGATGGGAGCCCTCTTGCCGTCGTGCGCCACACAATTCCTCACCAGCATGTCGAACTTGGAGTCGTCGTCCTTGATGGCCAACACCATGGTCATTGTCTGGCCAATCTTCACCAGGCCGGAGACCTCGGAGGCCCACGGTCCCTTGCCCACCTGGATCTGCATCCAGCAGCCCACATTGTCGCCCGCAAAGTCCGCCCTCACCACGTCCAGCATGTCGACGGGGAAGGGCCGGAAGGTCACGGACTTCTCGTACTGGTCGTGCCACGTGCAGCGCAGCTTCCGGGCCTGATCCCACACCTCCTGCACCTGGGGATCGTACTGGATGACGATGATGTTCTCGAAGTAGGTGCCCGCCCCGGTGCCACCGGATTCGTGGCCATAACCCTGGCCGTAGTTGTCCGTGTTGCCGGCAGTGCCGCACTCATGGAGTCCGATGTCGAAGCTGGCCGAGCTCCTGCCCAGGCCGGAGGGCAGGTGGACGCAGTTCATGTTGCTGTAGTGGCCCTTGGAGAAGACGATGCCGTTGAAGGGCTTGTCGAACTGGACGAACACCTTCATGCCGTTCTTCTCGCACTTCACGTCCAGGGACACGATCTTGGGCATGTCCTGCACCGGTGCCGCCCAGATCTCGTTCTGGCTGGATCCGCCCACGCTCAGGTCCGGCACCTGCACCTGCTGCTGCTGTCCCTGGATGCCCTGGCTCTGCACCTGCACCTGGGCCTGACCCTGCTGCGGCGCCACCTGAAGCTGGACCTGCGGTGGTGGTTGCGGTCGTTGCTGGAGCTGCGGTGGCGGGGGTCCCTTGTAGAACTGGGCGCCGGGCGGCGGTGGCGGTCCGAAGGGCTGGCCAAAGCTCAATGGAATATTCTGGTGGTTACCTGGAGGGGATTAGATCAAGTATGTCATAACGGAGGACTATGAGACATCAGGATTATATCACACTTACTTCTTAGGGTCAGTGCCACATTGGGCGGCGGAGGCGGCGGCATGTTGTGCTGGTAGTGGACCTGCACCTTGGGCACCGACTGCGGCAGCTGCATCTGGATCTGGATCTGGGGCTGCTGCTGCGGCGGCGGCGGCTGTGGCGCATGCTGCGGCGCGTGCTGCGGCGGATGCTGCTGCTGGGCCTGCGCCTGGGCCTGTTGCTCCTGCTCCGATTCCTGGGCCATCTGATCCAGCTCGTTCTCGTGGTCGGCCAGGGCAATGGTCAGGTCGTCGTCCGCGCTTCCGGCAATAGCCTTTACCACTTCGACATCGTCGCAGCAGACCAGGATGACCTGTGACCCCATTTCCAGAGTGGAGAGGGAAAGAGAGAGAGAGAGAGGGTGGAGACCGGAATTATTTAAGGCGGATAATTGCTCTGCAACTGCCACAGTGGCACTGCCAAGTGGCAACAACAAGTGCCGCGCTTTCGGAGAATGTTGGCTGGAATGGGCGCAGCAAGGCGGATGCGGCATGCACCATGCGGCATGCAACTCAATTGCATAAGGCAGAGAAAAACGAGAGAAAGACACAAAGAAACGAAGCAACAATTTCGCTTTTTTTTTCCGCCAACAACTCTTTCCATTACCATTGCCATTTCCCTCGCCCGCGATCTTGTGCCACATGCAACTGCGACTTGCAACTTGCAACTTGTTACTTGCGGCGACCCAATTTCCCGCCCGGGGAGATCCGCCTGGCTTAAAAGGCGATGTCAAGGCTAGAACCAGACCAGACAACCGACCATAAAAAAAAGAGAAGAAGAAACAACAAACCGCAGACTGAAAACTGAAGAATGGAGACTGGGAGACCAGGAGACTGAAGACTAAAGACATCCGACCGAGACCTAAATTAAGATCGCAATCGAAATCCGTTGTCCGGATTGGGTGAATGGCATTCTCAAGAAATAATGATAATGGCCGGGATCCAAGAGGATATCCAGTTAGTCCATAAAGTCAATATGTTTTAATAATTCAAATAGTTTATCAAACTTAGTTAGAGGCTATTTAAAAGTATAAGAGATTTAGATATAATATTAAGAAATTAAAAAAATTAATTGCACTTTTTATTGGATTTTATTAACAACTTTAATCGATCTAATTATCGAATCTAATCGATCTTAAGATATTAATAGATCTGAGAGCCAAATATGTTAAAGATTTCAAATCCTTAAAGTTGGGACTATTTAGCCAGTTAGGAACTTAAAGGTTTACTATGTTTTTGTTTAAAATTATACTTCACAAATTTGCAGAATAAAATCTAAAGAGTCTTTTAAAAATCCCCCTAACATAACCATATTTATATAAATTAAGTCTTATTTAATCAATAAGTTGTATATTATAAGACTATATTATAAGCCTAAACAAAAAACTAGATAGACAATATCCAATTAAAGATAGCTTTATGAGTGGATAAATTGAAAAGATGGATTTCTTATCTTTAAAGAAGCATAAGACTCAGACTCTTTATGATAAATATTTTGTACTATACTATACTATAAAGATATACTAGATACTATAAAAAACTATATGTCTATGTCTCACAACCAACAATCTTCAACAATCTAAGCTTTTTACAAACTCCAAATATTAAAAAAACGTATTAAGCTTTAAATCTTAATTTAATAATGATAGTAATAACGCATTTCTAGAAAAAGAAAAAAAGGCACCCTTTACTTTGGTAAATAATCTTAAAGTCCTACGGAGTTTATCTTTCATTCAATCTTAGAAATTCAATCTTAGAAAATGTTAGAACCTTTTATGAATTCTAGCAGAAAAATGGAAAATGTAATAGTATCTCCTCTATGAATTTAAAATGAATTTATCCATAAATAAATTTTTAAATTTATCCATAAATTAATTTATTTAAATATTTGTATAACCCTTAAGAAATATTTAGTTCAAACGAAGACTAATGATATGTAAAGACTTTAAAAATTTCATTTTATAAAACAAGTATCTAGATAAATCTTTAATAAAGACATTAGAAAACTAATTAACATATCTTAACATACAAGTTACACAGTCTTAAATACTTCACATTAATATCACATCTACATCTTTAACGAAAAAATAATTTTCTTTGAAAGTTTTTCGAATAAAAATATCCATTCCATATTTACTTGAAAATACCAATTTAGGTGGACCCAGTGGATGTGTGGCACAACCATATTTAGTACGCAGACTTGTCTTCCGGCTTTCTTAATAATTTATCTTTTGTTTTCCATTACTTTCCATTTTAGGTCTTCATTTCTCTTTTCAGACCCCAGCCAGTATGTGTTAAAGTCCTAATTTTTGTTGCTCCATTGAGGAGAGCTTGTCCGCTTTTACCCCCAATACTTGTCCACTATACCCAGTAACCCAGTACTACTCGTACTCGTACTCGTACTCGTACTTGTCTCCGGAATCCGGACTGATTCAGTTACCATCAGTTTGGCCATCAAAGCAATTAGACGAATGCATGGCGATGGTGGATGGAGGATGGGAGCCGCAAAACTGGACAAGGTGGCTATGACCATGGCCATGGCCAAGATATCCAATGAAGATGAAGATGATGCCCAACGATGGTGATGGCGATGGCGAGGTGAGTGCAACTGCAACTGCAACATCCCAAATCTGTGCCGCACTGCCGAAAACAACTTTCTCTGGCAAACTTGCAAACTGGCGACAGAGCTGAGAAACCGAGAAATTGAGAAGCTGAGAAACTGAGAAACTGAGAAACTGACTAACCGAGAAGCTGACAAAATTGAGCATCCAAGTATCTGAGTATCTTTGGGATGCAGCAACTGCATCCTGTAGCAATCCTGTTTGGTAGAAAGTGATGTGGCCAGCCAGCCAGACGATTGACAACAAAAAGGTAAAATGCTAAATGGTAAATGGCAATTGCCAAACAAGTTGCCAACGAATTCAAAAAAAAAAACGAGTGCGGGGAGAAAAGACACAACCAGAAAAAGGCAGAAACTAAAAAACAAATTCTATAATCAAATTTGCATTCGAGAACGTGATTTGGAGCGAAACTGCAGATGAAACTTAAAAGAGCAGTCATGTCTCCCTCCAAGTGTTGCACTTAAAAAAATTATATATTTTATTTAATATATTTCATTAAGAAATTTTAAAAATATACCCAAGTATAAGGGGTTAATGTATTTTTTAGTTAAAGTTTATAATGGTTTTTCCTAATAGATGTTATAATAATGTTCTGTTTTTTTTTTTGTGGTTCAAACTTTAGAGAGAACTTTTGAAAGATTCTAATTCTAAGATTAATTCACTTTAATAAAATAAACTCTTAAGAAAATTCACAAAATTACTAATATATTTTATTAAGAAAATAGTTTCCTTATCCAACTTAGTTTTTTGTTCTTTAAATTAAGATTTCAAATATCATTAAAAGCACCTTTTTGATTTTTAAAACCCTCTAAAGGCCATATTTAATTTAAACATCCTAGAACTGCGATTCTATTTCTATTCTATTTCTAAGAAGTCTACCTACCTACCTATGTATCTATCTTTCTTTTAAATACCAAAATACGGTATTAAAATAGACAAAGCACGGTATAAGTTTATCGGGTTATATATTTAAGCCCCACACACCTCTAAGCCTATTGTAAGCTAGTTTTAAAACTATATTTATGTGAATTTAGGCAGTTTCTACATTTTGGAAAGAAATCCCCAAATATCCCAAGGCAAATCTCCCTAAAAATATAGTCCAGAAAAGCTCTTAATAGAAAGTCTAGAGTCACACTTTAATAGAAAGTCTAGAGTCACACTTTATAGATTGTATAATCTTAAGATATTATACAAAAAGTGTAGTCTTTTTTGCCCAATTGATCAGTTTAAACTTTAAAGCATAGATAGATAGTAAAAATGTTAAATTTTCAATTATTATACAAAATTAAGCTAAGACCCTGTTTAAAGAGAACTTCTTTTTTAGAGCAAAATAGATCTTGGATTTCACTATAACTCATCATTGATGTTAAATAAAATGTCTTAATGATGTCTTAATAAAAAAATCTTAAGCTAAATCTTCCTCCGATGAGAAGCGTTAATTGAAATTTAGGCCAAGAGCTACTTCATCGGTCTTTGAAAATGATTTGGCGGGAAATTTTGAATGGAGTTTCACTTTATCTCCTGCCAACTGGAAATTGTTATAATCTCGGCACTGAGAAAAATTCATATCGTATTTAAAGAAGATATTTCTAACGAGGAAAGGAAAAATTAGGAAGTTAACACCTTTAAAGACAATATTATCTTCAATCTGATATTTAAATTTTTCTTCAAGTGTACTGGATACGACTAATGATGTGACTAAAGGCCAACAACAACTGAAGAAGGAACCCGAGACGAAATGCAAAGCCGGCTGTTGCTGAAATCTTGACCTCTCCTCGCGGATCCGTTGAAGATGCAAGTTGCATGTTGCAAGTTGCTCCATGCTACATGCTGGATGCTGGATGCTGGTTTCTTGGCAGCGCACCAAATCGGGAGAAAGTGAAACATTAGCAGAGAATCGGAATTTGGCAGCAGGCGGGCTGCACAAGGAGGCGAAAGGGTCAAAGGTGAACGCCAGGTCGTTTGGCAGCATTTTCCCAAAAAAAAAAAAACAAAAAAACCAAATAATAAAAGAAAAAATCTCAAAATGAAAGCGAAAAGGAAGCGAAAAATGGAGATGCTGCCACATGCTGCCTCTGCCACTCGTTAAAGGAATGAAAACTGTTTTTTTTGTTGGCCTGGCTAAATTGTGTCATCGCCCCAGAATGGCCAAAAAACCACCAGAGAAACAAAAAAAAAAACTTTCTAACGTCACGAACGCTGGGCCAAAAAAAAAAATAGCGACAAGCCGAGGGTATTACCTATGTAGGCAAAAATGGATGCACATGGAATTTTAATATGTGCCAAAATCCCAAAAAGAGAAAGGAATGCTGCGGATGGGCTGGGAAGATGCCCCTTTGAGATGCCACCAAAGGCGGTTGCTGCAGAGTGTCTTTTTCTGAATTTAATATTCATATAGCAACAAAAAATTAGAACACCTTATATAAATAATGTAAACACTTGTAAGAACCTATATTAAATAGGGCTATGATAGAGGCACTTTATAGAGCCTATGTATTTTGGATAATTTGATGCAAGAAAGTTCTTTACGAAAGACAAAGTTACAACCAAAATTAAAACAAAATATAATATAAAAACATCCTTTACAAGACTAAAACAAATACATCCCTAAAAATTTAGGCTAAAATGTATAATCTTTTAGCTAATTCTTAAGTTATTTTTAATTAGATTAAGTTGATAGAACACTTTGTTTTATGCTGCTATATTAAAAACAAAACCTATAGCCTACTTTTCAAGGATTATATTTTATTTTAATCCATAATATAATATATTTTAATCCTATATTATAGAAGTTAACTGAAATATGGTATTACTTTGTATTGTTTGTATAATTTAATCTCGTAGATTCCCAATAGTTAAAATTAAACGAATTTATTTATAACTAGATATAGTAAAACATTTTTAAAAGCGCATTCTTCTTCCATATTTTCTTCAATATTTAACCAAACTTCCAGAAGAAACAAGCCAACTCAATACAATTCTCACAGCACTTCCAAGCTCTAGACTCTAGAGATGACATTCGATGAGTATCCTTTACATTGCTGGCTCTAATTACCCATTTATCGGTTGCTTAGTGATATTCCAGGAACTAAAACGAGCACACACATACTAACACACACATACACTGGCATTCAGGCTTTTAACGGACAATTCATGCGAGAAATGGGCCATGCCAATTACATGTCTCGTTCTCGTTCCCGCTGCCCGCTGTTCCCCTTCCGTGCCATTCCATTTCATTCCAAGCACTTGACTTGCCAATAAAGCTCTTTCACTTCCACACACACACACATGCACACATGCACACGCACAAGGCAGACATCGGGCAGACACAGAGAGACAGAGAGGAGAGGAGAGCAGGCAAAGAGAAGCTTAAGCCGGCTGCTGCTAATGGAAATTATCTATTTATAAGCTTGCTGCCTGCTGCGGCTGCGGCTTCTGCCTGCTTGCCTCTGCTTGCCTCTGCTTGGTGCATGCTGCATGCTGCTTTGCTTTTGGCTTTGTGTCTGGCTTTAATTGATTTTAATTATTTGCATTGGCTGGAAAATACTCACCTGCAGTGAAAGGAAAATGATAAGCGGCAGCCAAATCTTCTTAGCGCCGATTTCTCGACGATTTCTTCTGTGCCGTTGCTGCTGTAGCATTTGTTGTTTTTGTTGCTGCTGATGTTGCATGTTGCTGCTTTGATGGTGTTCCTGTTTTTGTTTTTTTTTTAAGGCGTATATAATTAATTTGTTTATCATTATTCGATATTTGCTTATGATTTCTGTTTCTATTACAGCTTCCATTGTGGGTGTGTGTAACAAAAAAGAGTCATAGAAAAGACGGAGAGAGGCGGAAGAAGCCGCGGAAGAAAGAGAACGTGTCGTAGAAAGTGCTTTTCGCTTTTTTTTTTTCTTTAATTTTTTTTTGTTAACCTGGTCATTATTGTTATGCTTACCAGCTATGAAAGTGTTTCTCGCTAATTGCAATTTATTAGCAATTTCTCAGTCAGCTCAATGATGATTGATTGACTCGCTAAGTGTTCAAGACCCCCTCTTTCTTCTATCTAGCCCCCACCCACCTGAGAAAACAAAAAAAAAGAAAGAAAGAAAGAGCCGAAAGAAAGGGAAGCTGTGACAAGTCATCAAAAAAAAAAAAAAATAAAGAAAAGAATCTGTTTAATGACAACACACTTAGCTTTTAAGACTCTTCCAGTAGTAGTGGAAGTAGCACCTGGAATCAGGGGGGTCTTGATAAGGGGCCAGCAGCTAGCCAGTGCTGCAGGTGAAAAGTGTTAATAGGTTTCCCCATGAGACCCAAGTGGGTCATCATAAGCCAACATAAACGCCCGCCCGAGTTGGCCAATTAGAAGGCCCAAGGAAAGAGAGAGTGACAAAAAATAAGAAGAAAGAACCAGGAAGTTGGGAAATCTTAATGAATTCTTTGAGAATTACAAGTGAGATATTATTCCAAATTAAATATTGCTAATAAACTTTTTAATATTTCTATAAAATTGCATTTCTTGGATTAACCTTGAAATGTTTATACTTTTAAGCATGACTTTGTACCTAAACTTTAATACTTTATAGACATTTTAATTAAAAACATTAGTTTTATATTTAAAAGCTCTTATAAAAGATTCTAATAAATGAAATAATAGCTCTAATAAATCATATAACTATGAAACTACTAGTAACTAACCATCAAAATTTTGAATATTCATATATAATTATTATCTATACAAAGATTTGCTTGTTTTTTCGTTAATTATTTGAATATTTATATTTTTGGAATAATACTTTCTTCATTTACGGAAAAAATTATCAAGAAAACCCTTTGAAAGTGTGAAAATAATAATAATAAATATTCATAGAATAGAAAATGACACAATTATGGAATGTAATCAGTCTTTAGTTTTATAAAGCGCTTATAAGTTTGATAACTAACTAATATAACTAACTAATTTGTCTTTAAAAAAAACTTACTTTTCAATGTACCATTAAAAAACAGAAAATTAAACCATTTTCTTTATAAATTTATCAAAATTTTCAGTTTAAAAAAGGATCTAAGGTATTAAGGTTATTCTCAAGAATTCATAAGAAGTGCTCTCTTTGATAGAAAACAGATAAGTATCTTTTCTTTTTCTAACATCCCAAACAAAAGCTAAAAATATAATTTTTTGTAAGCTTCTCTTTTTTAAATAAATACTTTAACTAACTTATTGTTAAATTTGGAATTTTAAACCCCAACTAGAACTAAAACCCTACAATATACAAAGCTTTCAACGCGAATGCAAGCACTGTGATAGGAAGAGAAAATACTAGAATTGAAAATACTAGATAAAAGAAAGTGAAATTAGAAGGAATATTTTACGAAAAAAAATCATGAAAAAAAGGATAATCCTTATGGAATCTCTTTATTCCGCTGCTTTAGTTCCGACTCACTCACTTCCGGTTCAATGGGGTATAACGGTTTAACGATTAACGGTTTATGGTTTTCCGGATCCGCTCCATTCCATAATGGAATGCTCAGCTACTCACCTACTGTTTTTCGTCCCTGGCCCAATTCCGGCGTTCCACTTGCCGTTCCAGTTAAAGTTCCGAATCCAATTCCTCGCCTTGACAAACAGGATGCGTCCGCGTCTGCGTCGTCTGCGTTGTCTGCGTGCTTTTTTGGTGGCAACTTTCGAAAACAGTTGCTGTCGGTACGATGGCCGTTACTTTTGCCACTGATTGCTGCTACTTGGCTACTTGCCACAGTTGCAGGGGCAGGCAGTTAAGAGGTGGTGTTGTTGTTGTTGTTGTACACGGTCAATAATTAACGATCGCAAGTGGGGCACACACGCGCACCAAAGAAAAAGAAAAACCAAACAAACAAAAAGAAAAATACCAGAAAAAAAAAGGACACAAAAAGCGCGTTGATCACTTTGGTTAGCCAGCTTCTCTGCTAACCGTATCTTTCCAAGCGGTTCTTTCCGTTTCGCTTTTGTTTTTTTTTTCTTTACATAAGTATATTTATAATTTGTTTTTATGATTATTTGCAGTTAATGTTTTGTTGTATGTTTTTTTTTTGCCTTTTATTTTGTTCCGATAGGCATTAGATTTGATATTGATGTTTGGTATTTTTTTTGCAACGGTATATTTTGTGTCAACCTCGAGGATCTCTAGTTCGCTCGTTTGTCCGTTTTTTTAATTTTAATTTTTTTTGTTTTTTGTTTTAAAGAAAAGGAGAGAAGAGAAAAACGCGTCTGGTTCGCGCCGTGGTTTAGCGCCGAATGCCGCAGACACCTGCTTTCTCGCAGCGGAACACTTCGCATGCGCAACAGCAGCAGCCAGCGTCGCTGCCACTGCCACTGCCACCGCCACTGCCAGCGATAGCAGCGAAATTTCTTCTTTCTTTTCATCCATTCAAGACGCCACTCAGTGAGGCAGTCGGCCAAGTCCACGACCAAGTCCAATACCAAGACCAAGACCAGGCCAAAACCAAAACCAACACCAAAAAAAACTAAATCCACAGCCGAATGCCAAGTACGACTTGTTCAAGTACAGCATGCCGGTTGTTGTTGCTGTTGCAAGTGTTGCTTCTTGTTGTTGCTGTTGCATGTGTTGCCTGTTGTTGCCTCTTGCCTCTTGTTGTGTTTGTTGACTGGCATTCTTGACTGTTTCGGTTGTAATTTCATTCAAAGTTTATGTTTTTTGGAACAAAATTGTTCATCTTTTAGCTCATAAAATTTGGTATTTTTTTTAAGCACTCATATTTTGTCTTATTTTATGGCTTTTTACTAAAAATAAGGTCTATTTTCACTATTTTTTGTATTTTCTAATGTTTTGCTTTTATTCTGTGTCTGTTTTTTATTTACTTTTAAAAATATTAAGCTAATAATTTGGTATTTTATCTGTATTTTGCATCCTTATTTGGTATATTGCGGATGTTTATGTTTGCAACTATTGAGTTTTTATGGCTTTTTTTGATTCTTTTATCATCTTCTTTTAATTTTAACTACTAAAAGATTAAAATAGTAAGAAATATTATCTAATATGGGCTTATTTTGCTGATATTTTCATTATATTTATGCAATTTTGTATATATAGTTTTCCTTGAACTTCAAAGTAGGTTTATGTTTTATTTATTTAAGAAGTTAGTTAGTTTAGTTTTGTTTATTTTATAAGCTAGTAGTTTAATTTATACTGTTTTTTTTTATAGTTTCTTTGAACTTTAAAGTAGTTTTAGGTTTTCAAAATATTTAAGATTTCATTTTTGAAAACTCTTCATATTTTTCAGTTATATGTACATATGATTACTTTTCTTTTCTTTCCTAATTGATGATATTAATATGATAGTATTGTGTTTATAGTTTATGTAACATTTATTAAAAACATTGGAATACTTTTAAAAGATTTAAGAATATGTGGATAACAATGGCTTAATGGATTATAGCTTTAAATTAGAAATAATGTTACTAAGTTCTTTTATAACTATTTAGGTCAAGATTTCTTGAATTATTTTTTATCAAATATGTATATATTTTAAATGGCTTTATTACTTATATATTTTCGACTTATTTCTCATAATATTAGTGTTGATTTTAAGCATTATTGTTGCAGATGCCAATGCTGTGGCAGATGCTGTTGCTGTTGCTGTTGAAGTTGCAGTTCCTATTGCCGTTCCAGTGGCTGTTGCAAATGTGTCTTTAATGAGTTATTATGTTGCTGCCGCTTTTAACACATAGCTCCTTTCGCTTTTTATTTAACTAAACTTTCTCGCATTCCTTTTCAAAAGTATTGCTATTTAAAAATTGCTTACTTAAATATTGATTTTGTTTATGTTGCGATGTTGCTAGTGAGTTTTTAAGAGGTGCCTCTTATGTTGCAACTTTATTATTTTTTTTTTACTATTTCTCAGGTTGCTGTTTATGGGATCGCCCTAGCTGCTGGATATATGGCTTATTGTTGCATGTATTTATAATTGTTGCCGTTAGTAGAATATTTTTTTATTTACAATATTGCTATTATTGTTGCAACCTTTTTCTCATATTGCTGCTGTAATTGCAACAACCGTTGTTGTTTCTCCCAGCGATATGTTGCTGTGGTTGTTGTTGCCTGTTGCTGGCCGACTGACTGCCTGGTGTTGCCTCTGTTTGTGGCATGTTTTCTGGTCTCGGTTTCCCCTTTGCCTCGACTGCCATTTGTTTGTTTACACTGGGCAGTGTAGCCTCAACTTTCAGTTGCAATGGGTTACAGAAGCAGACGCAGCTTTGGGGACAAGTCCTCTAACTGTTTGCACTTTCTATTCCCCTCTACCTATATATACCTGCCTCCATCTGCCGCACTGGCCGAACTTGCTGCCACACCCCACCCCTTGCCACAACGCACTGCCCATGCTCCAGTTGCTCCAGTTGCCGTTCATGATTTGTGGCAAGCAATCAAGCCCACAAAACGGGTGTGGGCGCCCTTTGATTGCAAACTGGGCTTAGCCACCAAGGCGTGGCTCCCTGCCCCTGATGGCCACTCCCCTCCCCCTTCTCCATTCATCCATCCATCTAGAGGTGAGGAAAGATTTCGCATCTTTATTTATTCAGTCGCCAGTAATGTTTCATCGAGTGTTCCACTTTTCCATAAAATATTTTTTGCCAAGTGCCGCATTTGGCATTGCTGTGGCAGCAACAGCAACAGCAGCAACAACAACACCAAACACAAACTGTAATAAATACAACAATAATATGAAAAAAAGGCACTTGCTCTCGTTGAAATAATAGGATGAGCAACTGCAACACCAACAGCAACAACTGCCACAACAGCAACAATCGCAGCAGCCACGACAATGAAGGCAATTGATAACCTGATGTCGCTCAGATACAGTGGGCAGTAGATAATTGAAACTGATTAAAATAAAAATTCAATATAATTAGAGATATAGAAGAGGAATAATATAAGAATACATAAATAACATTAAAAACATAAATAAGCTTTTATTTTAAAATTTATTTGTAAGTAGGGTTTAAAATATATGTAGAAATTGTATTAAAAGTATAATATTAAAGTTAAAGTTAGAGTTAGAGTTATTAAAGTATATAATAAGTATAATAGATACAAGTTTATAAAAGATAAAAGTATATCATATCATCAAATCATGAGATATAAGAAAAGATACAAGGTAATAGATACACGATTGTTGTTCATAAAAAGTTTATGAACATTTTCTTTAAAGAGGGATTCATTCGTTTGTAAACCTAATGGGTTTTATTGTTGTAAGCTCTTTATTTTATTTACTGGTGCTGTTTATAAAATATGATTTACTTTAAAACCAAGTTTCAATATATTGTAGTTAACTAGTAAACCCACATTTATTTTCAAAGTTTCTATTAAGAGTTTAAAGAATTCTATATAGTTTGACTATAATAATCATCAAATCAGTTCATATTTTCACCCTTTATTACTAGTATTGTGTTTATGTTCTTCATAAAGAAACTTAATCATAAATTAGGAAGACAACATTCTTCCCAAAAACACCTGACTAAACAAATACAGTAATATTAAATTTCAAAATTTCGTACCAGAATACCTACAAATGTAGAATTTCTTGATAAAATACATTAAAATACATTAACCTTGCTTATCTTCTTTAGTTAATATTAAATATTAGTTAATAATAGTTAGCATAAAAGCATATTAAAAATAAATATAACTAAAAATAAAGCTTTCAAGTTAAATATATTATACATATTGCTTCCAATCTTTATATTTTAATTGTGTTTTCAAATTAACTTTTTTTTTAAATACCGGAAGAGTTTAAAAACCGTTGTTAGGCCCCATGTTAGTTTATGAAAAGCAGTGGGATTTTTCCTGTCCAAGTCTTAAAAATAAGATATTCATCATTTAAGTATGAATAAGCTTTTATAGTCCATCTTCCGTTTGATGCCCCACTGTGCGGCGGTGGCGATAAAAAAGAAAAAATTGCAGAGCGGTGCGCCGGCATTTCATCGCCATTTCAATTCCACTTTGCAGTTTTGAGTTTTTAGGGGCGCCTCCGACGACGCGTCGCTGTGGCAGCTTCTCAGCGGCGGGATTGCAGATTGCAGTTTACAGTTTACTGTTTTGCTGGCTGCAGGTTGCAGGTTGCAATTCACAATTCGCGAGGAGATTCCTGTTTGCTAAATATGACCAAAAAGACCCGTTTCGAAATTGGAGTAATTTCGATCGGCGTCGATGTTGCTCCGGTTCCGCCTGAAAGTGGCCAGAGAATCGGATCGGATCGGATCGGTATTGGATCGGATCGGATGGTGGAATCGGTTTTTGGTTTTGGTTTTTTGCTTGGTTTTCCGTTTGGAGAGGATCTCGCCTTTCGTCTATTGGTTTTTTGGATTGGTTCGCTTCGATTCGCACATTAAGTAACACGCGCCAGCCAGTCTACCGTCTACCGTCTACCGTCGTCTTCCAACTTGGCTAACTCGGTTAACTTGGTCAATTACTAAGCGGTTTTGCATTGCAGCCCGAAGACGACAGGCAACCGCGACTACTACACACTTTGCTGGAAGAGAGTCTTCTCTTGGAAAAGAAGAAGGAAGGGCAGACTCTGCTTATGTTTCTTTTTTTTTTTTTTTTTGTCGCACGCCTCACGCATCTTAAGCGGCGTTGCAAGATGTCTTATTAAGAGTATCTTGTTACTTTCACCATCCGCCGACATGAATTGCGCTTCAATTTCTCACAACCACACTGAGATACTGTTTTTTTTTTATATTATTATTATAGGTGGCTAAAAGGGGAAGGTGGGGGGGGGGAGGTGCTGACCAAATGTGGTGCTTTAACCAAAGGTTTTTGGGTGAAAACAACAACTCTGCAACAGTGCAACACTGCAACAGTGCAACACTCTCTTCCTCATAGAGATAATGCCCCACAAGTCCGTGTCCATCGGGATTCTACGGTTCTGTTGCACAGTTGCAGTGGCAATGTGGCCATGGTGGCACTAGTGGCATCATCAACATCATCATCATCATGATGATGGTAGTCATCGTCATCCAAAGCTAAAATCCTCTTTGCCACGCCGGTTTCTAGCCAACTATTTGGGTCGCTCTCACAATTTATTGGTTTAGTTTTCATTGCATTGACACTTCATCATCGCCGGCAAAACAGCCTGCGTTTGTCATCTGACTTAGATGGGCTTTTTCTTCTTCTATTTTTCTGGCTACACTTAAAAAAAAACCGGGTATATGCATATGGGAAAAAGCTGTTGTATTATGGCCTTAATGGGCCACATAAGTTGGTTCTTAAGACTCTATCTAG